TGTGTGTGTGTGTGTGTGTGTGTGTGTGTGTGACCTAACGGCTCCACGGACCAATGGGTCCATTTGGGTATGGGCACGTCACTGTACCCAGGAAAAAAACAATGGAAAAAGATAAATCTCCAACGAGGCGTTCTGGGGCAGCATAGACAGGTCTTTTCTGAGTTAGAGTTTTACCCGCTACAGGGTGTACTTTGAGGGTTTTTGACTCTGCAGACCGTTTACATGCATAAAAACCTTCATAACACACAAGGGGACGGCCGGGTAATAACCGGAAAAGCATGACATGGGACCTACAAATGTACTTCCAGTAACTTTTCCTTATCACTCTCATCTTGGTTTGTGTTTATTGTTTAATTTAAAAATATCTAAAGATCCTTGCATGTTATAACAATTGTATAATGTTTGTGCTATATTATGTTAGGTCAAGGCCATCTCAGCACCCATTTGGCTTGAATCAGTGGAAATCTGTGGTGTTATGAAGAGGACATGCACTGTAGAATTTCCCATAAACAACAGTCAGGTTAAATGGTATACTCCAGAGAAACAGATGGGTTTCCCCTGTAAACCCATTTTAAACCCTTAAGACGAGATCACTGGTGTCAGAGCGTCTATGACCGGCAGCTTGTCACGAGACCTAAAGAAAGGCTGGAGGTCGTACTCATTCCCACACAGATTTGATTTGCATGCAGGCTGGTTGAAATTGAAGTAATGGTCTCTTTAACTGGCTAAGTCAGTGACCTGTTGATTCAGGTTCCAAGCGGAGAGAGAAAGATATTTTTCTAACAACTGTCATGAAATTGGATTTGATTCCCAGTGGATGATTTACAATGACTCACTGACTTTTCATCACTCATAGACATATTAACAAAGATGTATAACAAAAAAAGCAATATCCCCATTGATTTTTCTGTGAATGATTAAGGGTTTTCCTTTTCTTCTTGTAGCAGTTTTTGCATGCAGGATACATTTTGAGCAAACAGGGATTACACTTGATGTTAAATTATTCACTGTGTTGACAACACAGTGTTGTTTTTCCATTCATGTGATACACTTGCACTTTGGGGTCTGGAAAAGAAAAAAAATACAGCAGGTTTTTAGCTTTGAATGTGTAACTTTTGTGTTATGTCTGTCAAACAACAGCAGACCAACTGATCTGATTTGGATTGGCAATATTTAAATGCTTTAAAGGGAAGTATTTTCCTACCTACAATATTGGTATGGTTTAGTAGTAGTATACAAACTATTTATTCAGGCTGCCATTACTTTAGTAAAAAGTATAAATTGCTTAAATTGTATAATCCATTCCCTTGAAGTTCTATTGCATTAGGGAATGCAGTGTGTACTGTGTTAATTCACAACAAAAGCAAAACTGACAGCAGAAATATTGACGCAAACATAACATCTACTGCCTGCTGTGCTTGCACTTGTGTAATAGGTGATAGAGAAAGAGGGTGTGAGAGAAATAGAGGTGGGGGGGGGGGGGGAGAAGAACACTCTTTATTTACATATGTTGTGTTGTTTATAACATCTAAACTGCAGGCTGTGTCTGGACATAACATAGCAAGACTGACTGCCAAGTTATATTACTCAATAGTTGTCCCTACTTACATAAATGGCCATTAGATTTGCCTAACCAGAAAGGAAGTTTAGAAGCAGACACTTTTCTATACGTAGGCTAATACATATGTAAGACAGAGTTACCAGCAGTCACGGTGAATGTCCGGACCTCTGGGAGCTGCTCTTCACTCACATGAGCAGAAACCGGAGCAGGGAGCCCGCTGACCTCTCCGTACAGCCCGGTGACCAGGCTGGGCTCCATCGGTGGTTCCTGTCACAAACACACACCCCCATATAAAATCACCAACCTGTCCCACTATAGTCAGCCCGAGACCCCAGACAAGTACAAACGCATGCATTAAGCAATAACGTTAAACCGTTCAAAGCTACTCTGAGAATTTAAAGAATACCGAGTATCATTTTACAAGTTATTCCACAAACCCTTGAAGTTATCGCCTCCTGGGGACTTGTTTGAACATTTCGCAGCAATGATTTTTACGCCACCACCGCCTCCATGTTGAATTGAATTCATGCATGGACGATACCACTTTGGTTCACTTTAGAGGGGTGTAGTACAGAACAATGGCCGCATAAGGGTAGCAGAGAGTCAACAAGGTGGCCAACAGTGTAGTACTATTGAGTTGGTTAATATGAATACAGACACTAATGGTAATGTCATATTGTAGCCTACTTCTTGAACATACGAGCAATTTAGCAATTTAATGTGCGTTGCTTATGCTCATTTTTCAAGTTTTACCTATCTCAAGATATATTATAACTTCATATTTAAATTCATATTTACAAACCATCTAAAGCAGAGCAGAATATGCAACCTGTACAATGAAAAGTTGTAGGCAGATCTTGCTTCAGTGCATTCAAAGGGATAATTTACTAAAAAATAAATTCACCATGAGAATATAAAAATATTCTTTGGCTGATTGTAATACTGTGAAAAACGGTGTAAAAATGTATTTCTCATTCATCATCATTTTTGAATTTGTCAAAACTTCTGCTCCTTGATACAATAACACATACACAATTGTGAATTATTGAAAGGAAAGGCAGCTGATACTAAAGTGTGTAATGCTCTGCCTATAGTTTACATTGACATTTTCTTTCAGGTTATCACAGTAGTAGAATCTCTTTAAAATATCTTGATAAGTCACAAGTCTTGATAATAACATTTATTTTCCCCACTGATCCGTTGTCCCACAAATTCTAGTAGATACAGATACAAACTCCGAAGCACGTTTTTAAAATCACAACACATTTTACAAAGAACTTGCTTAAATAGTCTTTATTTCATTTGATCCTTCTTCTGTAACACCATAAGCACTGATAAGACCGTTTGGTGAGGCTGCTGCTCTTCATGCAGGGGTCAATCCTGGTTCAACGACAGAAACTATGAAAGCTGATGAGAGATTTTCCTTACAGTACAGAAGACTCCAGGCAACATGTGTGCTTTTTAAATGCAATAAGCAAAAAACCTAACCATCATTAAAAACAACACCATCAAACTGATCAGCAGCTCTGGTAGGTGGCCTGTACAGTGTGTATTTACAGATCATGAAAAAGGTAAAATCATTCAAACGCATCGTCTGATACAAGTCTTCCATAAATCTGTATGTACAGTGTGTCTGCAATACACATACATGGATTGTATGATCTACCAACCCATGTTAAAAATATACTTGACATAATTGTTTGTAAACAGTTCTTAGCATTTGAAATGTTCTTTTAAAAAAAAAAAAACACAGTACTGTTCTTTCAACAAATTACACAGTAAAATACAATGTTCCACCAGAAATGATTAAAACATATTTTTCCTCTCAAAAAAGTAATAAAGATGACCGTATAACCTCTTTGATTTGATTTTAATGAAGCAAAAATATTGTTTATGTGTATTTGTGCGTTTTATTTCAGGATGTTAAATAAATGTCGTTAAAAATCACTCTTACACAAAAACACCACTAGTTTGATTTTAGGTTGCATTGTTCTTAAAGCCAGTGTCTGGTTTGGCAGTTGAAGTGGTCACTGGGTGTAAAGACAGAAGACAACTGAGGGATAACAAAAAATATGCAGCCCACAGTAGAGGAGATTTGAATATATTAACATGGCCCTTTTTTTATATGTGTTACAGAAGCAACCAGGACTGGATATGGTCAAGAGAAGCAGCTTTATGTGGAAATAGAAGTCAGTTATTAGCATTTAAAAAGACTTGCCTGACCGGTCAAGCCACCAGGCAGCGGTTAAAGCTGAGTATCGGAAAAAAATCCTATCAGCACCAGAGAGGGCCTCCTCAGATCTAAAATGTAACATAAAGTGTTAGAATGTTTGCCCAATTACTTTATTTGTTTATATTTAGAAAATTAATATAAGATTTTTTTTTACTATCTTGTGAAATCAACTTGTTTCTGTCCAGTTCATATCCATTTTGAAGCCTATGGACTGGTATATTGTTAAATACAGTTAGCAATTGGTGCTGCAATTCACCCTGTGTTGTGTCAAAAACAGGTGAAAAGCAGCACAGATAGTGTAAACTTGCCTTTCACTGTTGAAGCTAATAATAAATGTTGGCTATCTTGAATCTGAAGTATTTGTTTGTGGGTGAAGAGCACAAGTGAAAAAGCCCTTTAAAGAGTTTGTTCAGTCTTTGTGTCTGACAGCTGGAATAACGGAGGCATCATTTTGGATCCATCTCAATAACGCCCACGGAGTTCCACACATTCACTGCATTGTCGTTCTTCTCACATGATGTCAGCCCGTTTGTCCCTGACTTTGTTCCTCTGTTTAGTCCTGGCCTTGAAAGCAGCAGAGTTGAAAAGATGCTGTTGAAGAAAAGGATAAAGACATGAGTACAACCATAAAACCCTAGTAACACAAGATGCCTTTTTTTTTTTTTTGTGGCACTTCAAGCTCAACAAGAATGCAAGACAAGGAGAAAAATGCATTCACTCTCAGAGATGGGATTGTTGCAGTGTGGAGGCAGAAGAGATGCTGTACCTTCTCAAATCGAGAGATCTTGTTGCTTTTGGCAGTAGCGTCCAGGATGAGGGGAGCGCCGAGGCCAAAGATGTCTCTCACTAGTGGGTTGAACTGCAAAAAGAAAAGAAAAACACTCAAATGTACTAAATTGGTTGTGGAAAACTGTAAAACAACTGATTGTGCCAGGGGTATATTTATTTTTTAAACAAACAAGTGGATCAGGCCTACAGCTTTGAAAATCCAATATTTACCTTAAACATCTACTAAAATATAAGTGTAAACTCATCTTTAATCCAAAAAGGACCCACATTAGTGTTTCCTTTCTTATTTTCTGTTATTGGTAGGTAGCAATGCAAAGGATGACAACCTTTGTGTCACCCTTGCCAGTGTCATAATTCATGTGAGACCACACCAACATATCTCTCCTTCGATACACTACTGGCTTTAGTGAGTTTCCTGACCTGTAGATGGTGTCTGACTCCGGACTCCATGATCTCTTTGAAGGCATCGTAGATTCTCCTCCTCGTAAAGCTGTCGATGTAAACGTCCTCTATTCCGAACCTGATCTTCTCCACGGTGAAGTCCTCACTCTGCAGGAGAAGGAAAGAGACACAAAGTCAAAGCCAGGGCGGACATTCATAACTCAATATGAAAACGACAGATAGAAGTAACATCATTAACTACAGATATCCTTATGCGGCGGTGGATCATACCTCTATGTAATGAAGCACCTCTCTGAAGATGGAGCGCTGTTTCCGCCGGTCGTTCTTGGCTCGGTGCTTGTTGCCGTCTGTGGCTAGACCCTTCAGACTCTCACAAAGACTTTCACTGTCCTCCACCTCAAACTCCTACACACAAGGGGAATAATAGTAGCACGACTTTAAATCAGAAAAATACTTAAAACATATATTTGGAAATAAAGGAATGTTAAAAAGAGGGGTGCACCATATTTATTTCATATTTAAGTTTGAGTGACTGCTCCCAAACATACCCAAAGGGGTGCGTTTGTTTACCTCGTCTACATCTCGCCCCAGCTCCACCAGCAGGGCGATGGTCTCTCCTGCTGCTATCCTGAAGTTGACGTCACTGCTCTGCAAACACACCTGCAGTTTGGGGAGGTGACTACAGGCAGAGAAATACAGTTGGTTACACCCTTAATTACCGTTGATGACGTGATTTTTATCAAAATGGCAAGCATGTATTGTCATGTTGTTTTTTTCACTCACAGGTTGAGCAGCACGGTCAGTCTGGATGCAGGGCAGAGGGTGACCAGCAGGGACCAGGCCTGCAGGGCGGCACTGTGGAGAGCTGGGCTGCCGGGTTTGGGGGTGGGCATAGTTCCCTCTCGGTTGGGGTAGGACGACATGAAGACGCTCTCCAGAAGGGCCAAAGATTTGACGCCAGGTCCTGGGGGGGGGGTCTTGGTGGTTTTGAGAGAAAAAGAAAGGGGAAATAAATGTAAGGAAGGGATGTTAAAGACAAATAGGACATTGGTAAATATGGCTATTGTTAAGATGGTGCCATATCGTGATTTAACATTCCAGATGTATAATCAAACATTTGATTAGGTTTTATCTTTTTAGAAGTCCTGTCACTTGATTTTATTTGTTTTATGAAAGGGTTTTCACAAGTTGTTTTTTACTAAACACACATCATGGCCCAAATAATTTAAAATAATGATGCTACTACGATATCTATAGGGGGAAAAATCCTAATAATAATGCTTTTAAGTCAAAATATTCTTCAACTTTGTTCAATTTGCGTTTTATCTATTTGGGGAAATAATTTGCCATTAAAATACGAGTGGAGCGAGATGTAGAAAGAGCCTGTCACCAAATGTACATTTAAGTGGCGCTTCCGGCTCCAAAAAATATCCTCCTTAAGGTTTCACATGGTATTATCATATGTATCAACCAGAAACCCCCAGCAAGAACTAGGTGTCATGATGGATTCAACCTTTGAAAAGAACAAGTTCTCACCTCTCCTTCTTCAGCAGTACAGACATAGCAGCACATCCCCAACGCTCTGGCACACTGATGGAGACAGAGGCAAAATAAGTCAATTCAACTGGACATTTAAAATATCAAGGACGGACGGTGTGAAGCTATGATTCTCCTGATGCTTTCGTATGACCATTGCAGTACAGCTGCTTTTTTAAATGCCCTATTTGACCTTAAAATGTATGTCCTAATATTTTTATGCTTTCTGCAAAAAAAAACTCAAAAGTGTTAAATAACCTGTTTTGACAACAGGAGGAAAATACCTGTTTGTTATGGGCATATCACTCAGTCCTATAGGCCTGCATTTGTTGCTCTAAAATGTCACACTGTGGGAGTGGTCTTTAAGAGTCCCCTAAACATTATCTAGCGAGGTGTTTTTATGTCTTCTGTTTGTTTCCAAAATTGACAGTGACAGACACTGTAAACATCAACCTTGAGACTGAGTTCACTGAAAATCACAACCAGCCCGTCATTCATTTAAGTGGAATTTCCCTTTAATGCTGTTGAATTTCTAAGCTATGAATATATGTTTGGGCTAGGCTTGGGCGGTATGATTTTTTTCATACCGTCATACCTTGCTGACATCATACCGTGGTATACGGTATATGACGGTATGACTTGGGTAGACTTGAGCGAGGTGGCGTTCGGCGGCAAATAGATGTTTCGAACGGTATATTATATGTTCGGTGTAAAATGCTGCCGGAGCCGGTAGACGCTCGCAAAGTGCCGCGAGGTGCGCGCAAGTGCAAGTGCAAATGGCACATTTTGAGATCGGATACAGGACGCGTTTGTAGATGTCCGACGTTGTTTCCATAGTGAGCTAAGTTAACAATATATCATCATACATAAACATTTTCCGGGAGTAAATACTTGACTTATTGAATAAAGTTTGCTATATTCACTAACTAGTTTGGCAAATATTATTCCGTTCATGTGTTAAAAACCTTATTTCCATTTGATTCATTAGGATTAACTCGCGTGGAATGTTTTAGACCACCGTAAATGCCTTATCGCTTTTTAAAGAACCCGTCCGACTGAATACAAAACCATCATCAACCAGTTGCCATAAGGATTAAAAAAATGTCCAAACACTCACCTCACCCGGTCCTAACTTCCCAAAGAAGTTTTGCCCTCTTGTCTCGTTGTGCTGTGAAGTGCACTGACCGACGAGTAAACCGCAAAATAGTCCCAACAGCGGGCAGGAGGGGCACATTTTTCTTTATAACATAGTTGTCCGAGTAATATACAGGACAAGAATGCTACAGACATCTTGCTCAGCTCAGCTCTGAGACAAGACAACAAGTAGGAAAGACGGACTGCCCTCACACACACAATGACAACAAGCGTAGATAGACACAAACCATGTCGCACACATAGATCACACAAAAAAAAAAAAAAAAACACAAAAAAAGAAAGAAATCAGTGGTCAGTAGAAATAGAATGACAACGCATTGGCGCACAGTCTGTGACGTCACGGTATAATATAAAATACACAAGACGGGAATAATAATCCACAGATAAAACAGAAACCGTCCGCCTTTTGGGCCAGTTTTATACCTTTTTTATACATACAATAAAAGATACATTATAATATATTAATAACAGATGACTCAAAACACATACAATTTGCACAACAGACAAGAAGTATAACAAAAAAACACAACCAATAAGAGCGGGCCACAAAAGAAACAATACATAAGACATGTCAATAAGAAAATAAGATGGGGCGGAGCACTTTGAACCCCTCCTTCTGGCCTCGTCTCCACCACAACAACACAACAGGAAAATAACAATAAAGAGACAGAGAGAAGGCCTGCCCGCTGACCTAGCAACACAAATCAACGCCGCCCTGAGAAGGAGTAGAAAAAGTTGTATTTGGTTTAACTGCAGCTATTTTTCTAGACACAATCCTAGAAACAAAAAGGATGAAATTTTTGCACATAAAAACAAAAAAATGTTTTTTCCCCATCTTACCCTTTTTAAGGCTTCTTTCCCAGGGCAGTCGCTGATGGTGGGCGTCTCTCCTGTGAGGAAGTCCGTACAGCACTTTTGGAGGAAAAAGCCTGGACGCAGCGACTCCAGACCCGCTAGAAACGTGTCATAGAGCTGGGACATGGGAGCGAGAGGAGAGACCAGGGTTTGTGTTGGAAACAAAATTGACAACAGCCTGGTGTTGATGTCTTCCTGACTTTTCCCCTTTTTCATTATTTAAAAAATGAATAAAAGCTCACCTCTTATCCATCAAGTTGTCTATACACTGCTTGAGTTTGTCTTCCGTTTCCTCCCTGGGCAGTCAGCTCATCCACCTCTCCGCTCACTGTGTCAACACACGCAGGATTTGGATCAAAAGTAATTGCAGCTTAAAGACTTCAAGTTTGGTGGGGAAATCACCGCCAAATAAAAGGGGCTAGCGTGGATCAGAGATTTAAGATACTACCTATAAAATGCTAGCTATTCAATTTGATTTTGTGATGTAAGCAGTTCCTTTTATCCATAATAAATATAAGATTGTACAAAGCTTAAGGATATAGTATTATCAGAGACAATTTCTGTCTC